AAAAAAAAAAGATGCTTCTCTGCCGCATGCATAAGCAATAGTATGTATAAATATGTGTGTTTACTGTGTGTGTATAGAAATATATATATTATTTATTTATTTATTAATATTATATTACAATTATATGATCATTCAGCTGATGGCTCAGCGCGTGCTTCTATGAGGTCCCGGATTGTAGGTGGTCCATGAAAGCAGGGGCCGACACGTGGCAGCTGTCGAGGCTGTTGTCGGTGTGGGGAGTCCTCCTCTTATTAATGATGCTCTTTTGCGCCGGCTGTCCATTTCTTTCTCGTGCATGTTACCAAATTGGATTTTTTTTTTAATAAAAATTTGTGAAATTCTTTTATTGAACATTTTTATTATTAATTTAATTAATTATTATTCAAATTGCATCATATCCAAGGAAATTACCTAATGGGCCTGAACCAGTAAATTTATTTAATATAGGGTCATTAATCGAATTTAGAGTTAAGAGTTACTTTATAATAATTTCACTAATGTAATTATAAATAACAATGTATCTCATTATTTCAAGGTGCGTTATTTTTTAATAAATGTGAGTAATTAATAAATTAAAATAGTAGTAGTAAACAAACATAACACTGTCAATCATTAATTACATTTACGTCTCATTCATGTGTCTTTAGTAAACATCGAAAATGTAATAGAAGTTTCAAAAGAGACAAAAAATGGCAAGTCTAGTTGAATTTGACAATTATGGTATTTATTTTTTATACTTTATACTATAAAATTTGTCATGCTTAAGAACCTACCTTATGGTACACATGTTCTCATTGATTAGATGTTCAATTTGGAAAGCAATTTACAAATTCTTTCGATTTTCGAAAAAATATTTCTCGTCCATCAGCCGACCTATTAACTTTTCAGGGCAAACCAGAAATTTGGAATACATATTAAAATCCGATTTCAATTCTCATCCATATTCTGAAAATTCTATTATTATTTTTAAATTACACGTATAAAATGTGTTCATTATTAATTTGTTTTTCTTTTTCAATTTTCATTAACGATTAACGCTAATCAAGGTGCTTTTATGAATTTCGTCGACTTATTGCAGAGAGAAAAGCCCTGCTTCAACTGCTGTACCTTCTGCTGACATGAGTGTACTTTAATTTTTTTTTGCCTGTTTCGGCGATCAGTCACATATATATATACACTTCTAATTGTAAGATTGAGTCCCATTATTAAAAGATTTCAACTTTGAGTTTTTGTAATTTTGAATTTTTTTTAATTAATTTATTTTTTGTAGAGAGAGAAATCACCGAATAATTATTTGAGCTTGGACCGGGTCCGGGTCCGGGTTCGGGTGAGACCCGAACTTAAACGAAGTCTACTTGTCTCTCTTTCTCTCTCTAAAGTCTAAATAGATTAGTTTCTCTCTCTAGGATCATCTGTTTATATAATAACAGAGTGTAAGGCAGGCAGATGTGGGAAATTGGCTTTTCATACAGACATGGCATTTCAGGACCACCACCACCACCACCACCACAACCACCAGCATCTATCCCAAGAAATGCCCCTCCACCATCCCCACTACTCCGACAACCACGCCTCCGTCTTCCGCTCCCTCCTCCCCGATCACCACCTCTCCCCCGACGACAAACCGTCGCAAGCACCACCACCAACAACCACCACCACCGCGTGGCTCAACCACCACCACCACCACCAGTGGCTCCCCACCCAAAGTCAACTCAGCCCAACCACCCCACCGGACAACAACAACAACAACAACAACGATCACCTCCACCACGACAGCGGCGCCGCCGGAGATAAGAGCAACAGCAGCGGCGGCGGCGGCGGCAGCAGCACGAACTGGGAGAGAGAGAAATACAAGGCGGATATTCTGAGCCACCCACTTTACGAGCAGCTGCTGTCGGCCCACGTGTCCTGCCTCCGCATAGCTACTCCGGTGGACCAGCTGCCGAGGATCGACGCCCAGCTGGCGCAGTCGCAGCAGGTGGTGGCTAAGTCTCCGTTCTCGGACACGGTCAACACCCCCTCGACGATGAAGACCTCGACCATTTCATGGTACTACACCAAACCTAATATTTTTTTAATCTCCAATTTATATTTGTTTATGTGAGTATTTAATCTTGATAATTCTTTTTTTTTTCTTCTGGGTATTTGAAACTGAATAATTTTGTTGCATTATTCTCCAACAATTATCTGATTTTATTTTTAATTTATTTTTTTGGTCTAGTTTCCAAGATTGAATTTTTAGATCTCTGGTGTTGAATCCTTACTACTGTTCTACACATAGACAATTTCGCAGATAAATTCTGTTTTAAATAAGTTCCTACTCTGTATTTCAAGAATTATTGGAATTTAATTTCCGTATATCAAGATGAAATTAATTAATGATGGTACTTAAGTGCTCGAATTCTGGGGTTGAATGATGTTTAATTTTGTTTCTTTTATAAAAAAGATTCAATTAGCTTGCTTGCAACTTGTCCGATTAGTATAGCGGCTCTCGTAAAATCCCGATTAATATAGCGGCTCTCGTAAAAATCCTGAATTTTGCCGATTTATGTGCTTAAGTGAGGTCACTGTTTGGATTTAGAGTGGGAATACAAATATCAACAACTACTCGCAATTCATCGAATGAGGATAGGAGAGAATAAGTTAGGACAGAGGATAATAACATAATCGAAATCAAACCAAGACGAATAGTTGGCAAATCGAATCTGTAATATGGGACGGTATATCTGTTTATCCCATCAAATTTAGGAATCGTCTTGTTTATCGGTACACTAATAATTTGAACTCCCATTTTTTTAGTGCTTTCAAGAATCTCTTTCTTGATGTAGTAGCCCCACTTGCGGCTCGTTTTTTGTTGTTGTTTTTTCTTCTAGAAGTTCTTGTCTGAAATGTTAGTCGTTTAAACTTTACGCAGACGCATTATGTTTTATTACTGTCCTCGTTCAAAGAACAACTGCAACAACACGTCCGAGTTCATGCAATGGAAGCAGTCATGGCTTGTTGGGAGCTTGAGCAATCGTTACAAAGCTTAACAGGTTAAATATTATTATTTATTATTCGAGCAAGAATTTGTCGACATATTTGTCTAAATATTTTGTCTGACAATTCTTGACAGGGGTAGCACCGGGTGAAGGTACAGGGGCAACGATGTCCGATGACGACGAGGATCAAGCAGACAGTGAAACAAACCTGTTCGATGAAAGTCTCGACGGAGGAGACAACATGGGATTTGGTCCCTTAGTACCCACTGAAACCGAGAGGTCTTTGATGGAACGAGTCAGGCTAGAACTTAAACACGAGCTTAAACAGGTGAGTGCACAAAAAAAAAAAAAAAAAAAAAAAGCCCGGATAAATCTTGATTAAAGATGCTATTTTTACAGCTTTGTATCTAATCAAGAATTTTGGTTCTTTAATTAGGGTTATAAGGAGAAGATTGTGGATATCAGAGAAGAGATACTACGAAAAAGACGAGCGGGGAAACTACCTGGAGATACTACTTCTGTCTTGAAATCTTGGTGGCAATCGCATTCGAAATGGCCTTATCCAACCGTAAGCATTTTCGCTCGATTATTACACTTTGGTCAATACAATTTTTTTTTTGTCTTTAATTTCTAAAATTATATTTTTAATGATATATAATAGGAGGAAGATAAGGCGAGGCTCGTGCAAGAAACAGGGTTGCAACTGAAACAGATAAACAATTGGTTCATTAATCAAAGGAAACGGAATTGGCATAGCAATCCTTCTTCGTCTACTCCGAAAAGCAAGCGCAAAAGGTTGGTCTTTTTTTCTTTTTTTTTTTTTATGCAATCTTTAATTGTTTGTAATAAAATCGAAACTCTTAAACGAATGGCTATTTGATTTTGGGGGGTGAAATAGTGGTGCAGGTGACAAAACGGGAAATGAACGTTTTGCATGAAGAAAAAGGGTATCAGATTCGAGCAAATATACGGGTGAAGAATGGGACGGACGACGAAATAGAAGATTATCAGTGTTAGCTGCTTTTAAGGTAGTTCTTGAAATTGGCTGGGGGCTTTGTTGAGTAAGAATATTTAGTTAGAAGCCAATTTAAAAGGACTTAATATATGATTTGGACACCTGAAAACATATCAAAAGCTACTGTAATATTTTAATTGTGGTGTTAATTAAATATCAACATGAGTATATGAGCAGAATCCAATTAGTAGTAGTTTTTTTTTTTTTCTTTTTTTTTTTTATTTATTTTTATTTGTAGTTTGTATGGGTTGAGGCAACATAGATTTTGTGTAAAATTTGTGTTACTATGAGTTTTATTAATTAGGTAAAATAGTACTCAATATCACAATTAATGCACTTAATACATAACTCTCCATCTTCTTATAATTATTTTAGTATCATTCCTATGTTCAAAATTGTTAAAATACTTGAAAATGATGTTATGGTTAATATAATTTGTGTATTTATTTTTTCGTAGAGGTCCCCGATTTATAATTATTTATCGTGTGTGTCTTATAGTGATCTAAGCACAATAAAACACAAAAACCAAGATTGATTTTATAAAAAAATACATTCGCCTGTGAGAAACAATTGATTTATGGTGTTTTTCGTCTCAGTGTAAGCGCGGAAACACCACAAATAAGACTGCAACAACAAATGCATGAAAAAGAGAGTTTATTTACCGCATTTTCCATCCCGACAGAACCGAGCGAAAAATAGAGAAACACCAAACAACAAACACTATGACAGCTCTCATGCCTAAATAAAATAGTTTTGCTTAATAGTTGGAATATAATCCAAAAAATAAAATTAAACAAGAGAAGCAATAACATAATTTGATAATTACCAAATTGGCCGAGAATTCCACGTGTCACATATATACACATATGCTAAAAAAAAGTCAACGATGGCTGCAATAAATCATTTCCTCAAATAATGTCATATCTCCAATAATATTTTTTTATGATTAATTTTCTTCACTAATTAATAAAATTAAATAAATAATTAATTCATAAGAAAAACCAGGCTTCTTTTTGTGATCATTGATAAGGGCGGCCAGCACTAGCAAACCTCGACGAAAAGCTGTGCAGCAAATTGCCTTCTTCTTCTTCTCCGCCGCCGCCGTGATCTTCACTATCACCGCCGGAAAAGTTGAGGGCGTAGCTCTCCGGCGAATACTGAAACTGCGCGTTCTGCTGCGTGCTGTTCACGTGTTTCTTGGGACTGCAGAACTTGCCGATTCTCCTGACGAAATTCTTCCACTTGGGCCCCGCCACCATCTCCGACAACTCCTTCAGTTTCTTCAATTTCTCCACCAGCCACGGCGACCCGCCGCCGGTGCCCCTTTCTCGCAACAGAGAGTTGCGGCTCCCGCCGAAACAGAACCGCCGGAAACAGCCGCATCCGCCGCCTGCGTATTCGTCGGCGCCTTCATTTTCCCGCTCGGTGATCATGGGGGAGTAAGGTGCGGTGGTGGTGAAGACTGGTGGTGGGTTTTCTTGAGACCTGGCCATTGTTCGTTTAGAGAGAGAAACTAGAGAGAGAAAATGGTACTCTGTATTTGAAATTGGGAAAGTAATTAAGAATTTATAAATGTGTGTATTACCGTGTCTGTTGTGCGTGTTTTGTGTGTGTGCAGAAAAATCAAAGGTGGTGACTGTGTGAGGAAACATCGTAGAATTCAGACAACCTAAGCAACTATATATGACTTCTTCCATTCCAGGAAAATAATATATTTTCTTATATATTATATATATATATTGTGTATATATTATAATGTACACGACAACAAAAAAATCAGTTTTCATATAATAAATCAGTGCAGTAGCGGATCTAGGACGAAAATTCAGGGTATGCCGGCTGTGCCGAGTCCAAGAATTTACTGTACAGTGGGTTAAATTTTTGGGGGTTCGGGGGCAGCGCCCCCGGAAAAAAAAATTGAACATTTTTTTGTTGGATAAATTAGGAGAAGGGAAAAAAAATTGAAACTTTTTTTTTTTTTTATAAATTAGGAGAAGAAAAAATTTATTTTTTTTTGATAAATTAGGAGAAGAAAAAATTTAGGACTTTTTTTGTATATTTTGAATTTTGTGTGGACTAAATAATAATATAGATATAATATAATGTGTTTTGGGGGGAGAGGGGCTAAAAAAAAAAAAGAAAAAAATTAGGACTTTTTTTGTATATTTTGAATTTTGGGTGGACTAAATAATAATGTAGGTATAATATAATGTGTTTTTGGGGAAAGGGGCTAAAAGAAAAAAAGAAAACAGTTAAGATTTTTTTTCTATATTTTGAATTTTGAGTGGACTAAATAGTAACATAGATATAATATAATGTGTTTATGGGAGAGGGGCTCAAAAGAAATTTAGACAAAAAAAATAAACAATACTTTTTTGTACCATTATGGAGACGAACTCATGACCTCATCTAACAACTTGGAGATCTTTGCCACTAAGGCAAATTTATTTTCATTGTTTAGGGTGGTCCATGGCATACTTGGCCACCCCCTAGATCCGCCCCAGAATCAGTGTGTTGAAAAGTAACTACATATTAACCATATTTTCTCTTTTAATTTTTTACAGGGTAAATTAGGCCAATTCCCTAAGATAAGAGTAAATTACAAAAAAAAAAAAACCATGGTCTTTGAATAATTACAACCACCCATTAATTATGTATTTAAGTTCTCATAAATAGTCAACTTTGTAGTCATGATGTATGTACCCCACGACGAGTTTATTGCGTTTGGGTTTCCACTCTGAGTAATTAACTTTGTAGTCACTCCTTAAAATGTATCATTTGAAGAATTACGTGCTAGAAGAAATACATCGTAGAAGATTTTTTGCTAGTATTTATAATAACACGTGATTTTTTTTAGCAATTCAAAAGAACATATCGAAAATACCGAAACTTAGCTTGCCTGTTGTTAAATATCCAACAACTTACGAAACCGATGCTTGCAGAAAGGAACATACCATAGGAACTTATCAAGACAAGATAGATCGTTGGCAAGCACATTGTAGGCTATTTAGTCATAGGTTCGATACATTAGAAGGAAAACCGAGAAACAAGAAAAAAGAAAGAAAGAAAAAAATACCATATGAACTTTTTCCTTTTCAAATTATTATTTTTGTTTTTAAAACTATAAAGTTATTTCAATTATTTAGTTAATTATGACTTATCTAACCAATCAAACGATGCCTAAGATGTCTTCATGATTTGGGGAATGAAAAAAAAAAATAAAAAATAAAATAAAAAAAATACGTAGATTAATGTAAAACATAACTTGCACCTATATAATTAACCTATTTATCATTCTGACCTGGATATTCATTGTCTAATAATAGATAACATGTGTATTTTTTTTTTCTGTATAATTTTCTTGAACTAAAACATGTGACAATTCAGCTTACATTCGAGCTTTTGTATAAAGCAGGTTGATAAATAATTATTTAATTTTTAAAACACGTGTAATATGACATCAGCTTTTGACATGGAGATTCGCCGATGGAAGCTGCTGCTGGGCTTGTCCTTTCACCGGAAGCTTGGTCGCCATGGCCCGCAATTCGTCGGCAATCTGAGTGAAATTGGGCCTCTCTGATGGCTCTGCCGACCAACACCGCTCCATCAGATCCCTCCACTCGGGATCACACTGCTCCGGCACAGGCGGCCGCAATGTGTTGCTCACTATTCCACCTACAAACACGTTTTTCTATGACCCAACGACGAGGGTTGTTTTTTTCCGTATGCTAGTATATACACATACATACATATATATGTAGATATATAGATATAGATATATGTTGATTAGTGACATACCGATGATGGCTCCGTAGTGAAGGTCCGCGTAGGGTTCTTCTCCCGTGAGAAGTTCCCACATCACAATTCCGAATGAAAACACATCAACCTATCCAAGATCCAAATTTTACGGAAAAAATCCGATAATTACTATAATACGATGATTAATTATATGAAAGATATAATATATTGGGACAAAAGACCCGAACTATTTGCGTACCTTCTCGGAGACTAGGCTACTGCTTCCATTGAGAAGCTCCGGTGCCATCCATGGAAGTGTTCCTCTCACACCTCCCGAAATTAGGGTATGACATTTCACCTTCGAAAGCCCCAAATCACCGACCTATAAGTTGGGCAAGACAAAGAAAGCCATTTTATTTATTTATTTATTTATTGACATAAAAGCAATACAACGACGAAACAAGCACTTGTTCAAATAGCTAACCTTGCATATCGGTCGATGTGGGTCCCGGAGATTGACCAATAAATTGTCGCTTTTCAAATCAAAGTGTACTATATTCTTGCCATGCAAGTATTCCATTCCAAAGGCTGCATCCATGCCTATCAATAAGCGCTTCCGCTTATCAAGACTCCTAGTGTAGAGACAAGATCGTCGGGAGTTTTTTAGATAAGAAATAATGATAATATTTCAAACAAAAAATTACAGAAAGGAGATTAGCAATTTAGCATTACCTTTCGTTCTTCTGCAAAGCATTCCTAAGAGAACCATTCACCATATATTCAGTAACAGTTGCAATCGAACCGTCTGGACCATCCAGCACAATCCCGTAAAAGGCAACCACATTTGGATGGTGCAAATCAGCTAGCTTTATTGCCTCATTCCAGAAATCGTCTCTCTAATTAAGTATATTTAAAAAAAATACAGTAAGCCACAAAGCACATACAAAATAATTTAGATCTTATCTTAACTTGGAGAATCAAACAAGGCCTTACCATGCGGTCTTGTTCTGAAGGTTTCCCTGCAAAGCATCTATCGTTGATGCGTTTAATCGCGACATCTGTCCCTCTCCACTTCCCATGATAAACAGTACCGAAAGTACCCGAACCTAACTCTCTCAGCTCTTCCAAGTCACCGTTTTTAATTATCTGAAATTCAAGAATCGAAAGAAACGATCAAGGAGTAGTTTGTCATCGGCAAATTTCTAATTTTGCTAAGAGATGAAAAACCTGTAATTGACCAATGCCTGATGCAGGGAACCCGAAATTTATTTTCTCCGACAATTTGGTCTTGAATTCCTGAGTAAAGATAAAACAAGTAAGCCTCGTAAATACTGAAACCTTGGGGAAGAAAAAAAAAAGAATATTCTTGGAGGAATCTCGAACCCCAAAACTGTCAGTTTGCTGTGTTGCGACATTAGCAGTTTGAACATCAACGGGTGAACCAAGAACAGAAGCAGCTACATCCTCAGCAACAGCTTTAAGTTCCTGCTTTATCAGTTCATCTGCCGAATCTTTTTGAGAAATTAGAAAAAATTCAATAAGCAATCAAACACCAAAAAAATGATAATAACAGTATTCGCAATTCAAGACCTTTATTGGACAAACTATGATCTGGACTGAAATCCCGATTCGATTCTCCACTATTTAACTGATGATGTTCACCGGAAGCATCTCTTCTCATTTGAATCTTGCTAGGCTTGGGAGGAGGAAAGTGAGTATCTGGATGCATGTTCCAAGGATCTTGATTTACAAATAACGACGCTGACTCATCAATGGTATCAAGAATACTGTAGGGAGGCGACACAGACGATCCTATGTTGTTGTCCTTCCATTCATTCGTAGGTACGATTCTTTCTGCCCCACGAGCGGGCCCCACGCCCGAATAAACGGAGTTTACACCACTGCCGTCAGTAGACAAACTATTATGCTCGTTGCTAGATAAAAGCTCAGACGGGCGTATCCTGAGATTTTCCAATCTCCCGTCAATCTGTCTTAGATTGTCATATGCAGACGAAGTGGAATCTTCGATAGGAGCTTTAACGGAATATTCTTTCGGCGATTCACGAACGGCATATTCTGTGTTCTGCAGAGGTTGAGCGAGTGGATTCTGTGTAGTGTTGTTGTGTTGCGAAGACTGAGGAGGAGCGTTAGCCACATACACACCGTACGGAAATTGTTGAACCCCTGTTGCTTCTGTGTGAATTTTCCCAGAGTCATAATCCCCATTATTACCTTCAGTTGTTACAAGAGGCTTTATCGTGGGCACTACTCGAACGTCCGAAGGGAGACTGCAATAAATCGATCTCGAGTCAGAAACGGTGGTGGGTCCCACAGGGCTTCCGTTTTTCTCGTGAGCTACAACAGTATCTGAGTGAGCATGCGGCAGTGCTTTTTGACACATGTAGCAGTCCTCGAGTCTCGGATTCTTCTTCTCGGGGAACGTATCTGGTGAAATAGGTGTAACGGGCAATCCCCCTTCCGTAAATGCCACTTGCTCGGGGTGTCGAATTGTTGGTTGCCAGCTGTACATTCCCGATTGGACAGTTGTGGGGACCACCCTCTGTCCTATGATGCTTTCCACAGGATAATGCTGTTCCATCCGAACATGCTGAGGTGACTGCTGAACGAAAGCAGGAACTGCATTACTGTGATTAGTACTTATAAACGAGGGATTTGGAGTCATATGAGAGGCAGGAGAAAACTGATGCGGAGAAACTCCCACACCCACATGGATAGGCTGTTGAGCGTAAATAGGTTGCATGTGTCCTAAAATATGCGAAGGGAACCCCATTTGGGAAGGGAATTGAACATAGTTTCCATGGTTCGGACTTTCTTGAATAGTCTGCGTGTGTGTGTATGGTGAAGATACTGGAAAACTCGCACTTGGCAACCCTAAGTCTTGCTCAGAGACAACACCTATAGTTGTAGGAGCAACATACGGCATAGTACTAGGATCAACATAAACCACTTTCGGTGCTGTCTCGAGCGGGACAACAGAAATCCCCTTGGGCGAAAAACCACCACTAACTTGGCCTAAGCTATCAGCACCTTCTGTACCACTTAAATCGGAACTCCTTGCAGAATTACCACTCTCAATACTCTCCTTTCTTGCAAGACGGTTAAAACCATCCATAATCCCGTTCACAGCTTCAACATACCTATTCCCACCATCCTCCAAATCTTCAAAACTCGCATTTTCGATCTCGGAAGGCGAAAACAAAAGTATCCTCATTTTAGCCGAACCATCCGAAGATCTTTCTAGAAGCTTTTCGTATTCATCCATCATGTTTTCGAGATCGTCCGGACAAGAAACGGAGACGAGTGCATCGAGATCTTCATCCGGCAACTGATACTTAATCACCGCACTCTGTCCCAACGTATCGGCCATCTTGTGTAAGAATTCGACGAAAGGGATGTCTCTTCTAACACTGATAATCCTAGTATGTCCTCCTACGTATCTCAACGCACCGTCACTCACACGCGGCAGTATCTTCCCACCGAAACTGCACAAGAACTTAATTTTCCGAACAGAGGCAGAAGTATCGCCGCCACTCTCATCACTACCAAAACTCGGACTATAAGTGTACCCGCTCGCAGAACTAACTACGGTGGGGCCCACAAGACCTTGTTGGGGCTGGGGCTGGGGTTGAGGTGGCACGATATGCGGGACCCACCCGCTAACACCGTTGGAGAAAGCCGGAGCTGTGGTTTGGTAATAAACCGCAGGCACGGCTCCAATATCTGTGGGTGTGTGTGTGTAAAACCCTTCAATGGGTCTAATTGATGAGGTTACAGGAGCGATTCTTGGGTCTTCGGGTAAATTTCTCACTATATTTAATGGGCGTAAATTTTTGGGCGTTGAGTTCTGATCAAAGGCCATAACACTAATAATTTCTTGCTAAAAAAAAAAAAAAAAACTAAAATCGGTATGGGAAAATAGTATTCAATTGACGGTGTGTGTATTGATCCACATTTAGCTGAAAGGGGGAAAATAACATGAAATCACTAATAATTAAACACACAAAAAAAAAACGGTTAAAATAATTACTGTAGAAGTGGGAGAAAGATAATTAATTACCTGATATTGAATTGGGGGAGAAGAGGCGGAAAACTGTGTGTATTTGAGGCGGCGAGCTTATCTTATCAGAAACATGTATCTATCTGTGTATGTATAATGTATTGGTTTCGGTGAGGAAGAAGCAAACAGAGTAGGAAAACGAAGGAATGGGGAGGGAAAGGGGTCGCTTTCTATCTGGATTTGATTTGAAAGAGGAAATAGGTTTCAAATTTGATTTCATGATTTTCTATTTTAATTGTAATTCTTAGGCTTTAAGGATTCATATTTATTTCCTGAAGATGTATGTGTGTGTGTGTGTGTGTGAGAGAGAGAGAGAGAGAGAGAGAGAGAGGGTGTGTGTGTGTGTGCGTGTTTTGAAAGTGGGCACGTGGAGGGGTGCATGGCGAAATTTGAGACAGTGAGAATTGTTTATTAATATAATTTTGAGAAGACGGTGGCCTTATTTGTGAACAACTAGTAGGAGGACTATAGGTTTTCTTGTCTCGGTTTCCGAGGCAATGTTTGAATCGGTTCGGTTCGGTTTTGGTTTCACTTTTATAACTCTCTCGAAACCAAATTTGTGTTTGTTTAGCTTTTCAAAATAAGTTTTTCCGTGCACTTTTGAATTTGTCTTTCTTGCAGACATGATTTGACTATTACAAGGAAAAAAAAGAAAGAAAAAAATCACTAAAAAACAAATAAATACCACCTTATTTTTTAAATTCTTATTCCAAAATACATTTTTTTCCAGATAAAACATGATTTGGCTGGTACAGTATTTTTTATGATCTCAAATCATAAACAAACATTATTTTCATTCTTAAATTATTTTCTCAAAACATATTTTCCACAAAATAAAATGAAAATAACTCCCATAATCATTCCAAACATTTTTTAAAAAAAATTTCTATTGCATTTTTTTGTCTAATTTTTATTATGCATTTAAAATGCAATATATATATATATATATATATATATATATATATATATATATATATATCTCATAATTTCATTTTATTTTATTTTATTTTGTAAGTTTATAATATCGATGGACAACAAGTGAGATAATATATAAAGTATATGCAGTCTTAAAGCATGGGCCGATTTTAATTCTTTAATGGGCCAGCCTCTTAAACATCAAATACAAGGCATATAAAAAAATAATAAAAATAATAAGCTTTTATTATTATTATTATTATTGAAATTGGCGAAATTCAAATAATTCCACTCTAGTTTTTTACCTCTAAACCCCCCGATTATGTCATAAATAAAAAACAACGCACAATAAATTAATTATTTTTCAGTCCACAAAAAGTAGATAATTAACAATCGCCATTAATAGCTTACGCAATCTGCCATTTACCATTTCCAGTTAAAAAAGAACACAAAATAAATGAAAATCAGATAGTCAATTTACACTAATTTCAATTTCAAGAAAAATCACAAAAAAAAAATAAAAAAAAAAATCATTTATATTTACAACCCTAGTAACTGCTCATCTTTCAGTTACCATCACAAAATTGGGGGAAAAATAAAATAAAAATAAGAGAACTCAAGTAACGGCGGCGGGCACCGTCGGAGACCGCGGCAATCTGGCGGAGAAATTCTTCAACGGCGCCTCATCGTCAAAGTCAAATCCATCTTCAAAGTTCAGCGCGTAACTCAACGGATCGTATCTAAACTCCACCGACGAGTGCCTCTTGTGCTTAACGCCGGAGAGCCCCAGCATCGTGCGGCACTTCTCCTTAATTTCCGATAATGAGTGGTCGTGGGGCCCAGCAGTTCCGACCCAAATCAACGCCGGATTGTCGTCGGAGGGAGGCGACGGCGGCGGAGACTGTAGAATCAGGTGGCGGCGGTTGCGGCGGCGGAAGCAGCACGACAAGCACAGCGATCGCTTCAATTTCGATTTGAGAGACGGAGGAGAGGCGGGGTTGTTAATTTCGGCGGCGTTCATCATCTTCATTGTTTTTTTTTTTTCACCCTGGAGTGTGTGTTTTGTGCGTGGATTGAGGATTGTGTTTGTGGGGGTGGGTGTTATATACCTGAGTTCAGGGGGGTGTGAAAAGACGAAAAAGGACACTGAGTAAGTGGAAAATTATACTGTGGGCTATCCGTGTGGGAAAGACGCGCTGTATAGTACGTGGCGCTGGAGTGTGTTAAATTTTGGTCTTATCCTATTCTAGTGGCACCTTTTTATTTTGGGGGGAAAAAGTGCAAAATACTATTTTGTAGGCCCTCATAAAGTTAAGTATTTACAATTTAGATATTATTTATTAAAGAAATAAAATACTAATAAGGTAGATAGATGCTAATTAAGAAAATTATTAAATATTTTGGATTTGTTTGATTTTTTTTATATGACCAAATTGGATTGAAAAGCTAAATCAAAGAACTACAATTTTTGGTTTTGTGAATTTTGATGAAATCAGATTAGAGAAGAGTCCATACACGCTTATATTCAAAATGGTACTAGTAATTAAAACAACATTTAACGTTTCAGTTCTAAAGAATAGTTAAAATTTCTGTCAGGTTAAATTTTTAGTTTTTTCACATTCAGTTTACCAATTTCTTGCGGCTTAATTCCACTTTGCACCCTTGAAATATACCATTTTGACACTTTGCACCCTCGAAATAAATTAATAGCACTTTGCACCCTCGAAATACAATAAATCATGCATAATGCACCCCAAATGATTTTTAAAGCTAAAAAATATAAATTTAATATTTGTAGTGATATTTTTTTAGGATGCCAAATGTCAAATATTTTTTTTATTCATCAATCATTTTGAAACTATAAAGTTCAAAAATAAAAATACATTCCATCAACATATTTAAAAATTATATTGTTTTATCAAAATAAAATATTTTACGAAAAAAAATCATTCAGCTATTACGTTATCAAGTTATCTGAAAATTATTTTTTCTTCCAAATATTTTCACCTAATATTTTACAAACAGTGACATAAAAGATCCACAATCGATTAATTTAGTGATAAAAGATTATTTTTTTTATTTTTCTTTTGTAAGATAATGTAGTTTTTTTTAAATAATCCGGTGTAATTTTTATTTTTTCGCACTTTGTCCGCTCGAAATTAGGTTTGAGGTTCAAGAAAACAACAATTTTTTTTATTTTGTACCCCAAAAAGAAAAACACCAATGAAAAATAAAAATTGCCTTTATTATTCAATTGAGGGTGCATTGTGAATGATTTATTGTGTTTTGAGGGTGCAAAGTGCTATTATTATTTTTCGAGGGTGCAAAGTGCCAAAATGGTATATTTCAAGGGTGCAAAGTGGAATTAAGCCATTTCTTGCTGGATAATTGGCATTTCGTACCCTTAAATTACACCTCATTGGCACAATGCACCTTTAAATTAAAATAATTGAAGAATTACAGAAGGAAAAGAAAATATAATGAAAATTACAAGGAATTATTTTTCAAGCCATTGGGCCAAAAAGAATCCACAAGCTTGCTGTGGGGCGGGCTGTGGGCCGAACGGGCCTGGCCCGAATTTTGTTCATCGCTAGCCTGCAAGTGTAGAATTGCACTAGGGTGCACTTTGCAAGGAAAATACAAATTAAAGGGTGCATTCTGTTATTATTTTAATTTAATTGTGCATTGTGCCAATAATCTGTAATTTGAGGGTCCAAAATGCAAATTACCCATTTTCTGGTTTCATTTTGAGCAAGTTAAAAATCATTTTAACGAGAACCCATCTATCTTCCTACGAAGCTTCTGCTGCATAAATCTCTCTCACTCCTCTGCCACCAAAACGAAACATCGCAGCAATTTCTTGCCGCATAAACAAACCCTATAACAATGGCGTTTTTCCCACCCCACATTTATCACTTTTTCCCTAGCAAAGAATACCAACCGTCGATTCAGTTTTGCTTTTTCTACCCATTAGATCTAATATGGCTGGAATGCTCCCCGGAGTTGAATCTGCGAGAAGAAGAAGGTTTCACCGGAGCTGTCTCGACAACAGTGGCGGCGACGGCGGATACGGCGGCGGCGGATCCACCAGGCGATCGTCGTTCTGTTTATATGTATCCAATTGCAATGAACTCATCGTCGGTTCACCCTCTTCAATGGTACTGAAAAAAAAAAAAAGATCCCCAAATTAAATCCCAAAATTAGCTTATTAATTTTGAATTTAATTGTGTTGATGTTGACAAAATTAGGAGAGGAATTCCATAAGAAAGGGAGTGTTTGATGATGCGAAGCTTGATGCAGCGGCAAGTGAAGCCAAGAAAAGATTGGATCACAAGCTGCAAACCCACTGGAAATCAGAAATCAAAAGGTAATTTTTTATTTTATTTTATTCAAGAACACTTTTTTTTTTATTTTTTTATTTTTTATGAGTGAATGTTTTAGTGATCGAGAACGATTGAATTTCAGGAGCAAAGGGAAAGAGAAATCAAGCTCTGCTGAGGGGAGGCTAAAGTAACAGTGCAATTTACAAACAGATTGTAACAGGCAATTTACCCATAGTAATATTATTGTAAATGTAATATAAGATTATTAAGAGAATAACGAGATTGGAATCTCTTACCTCACGTGTTCATCATATCGGTTTTATCCGCCAATCGACTCATTCTTTATTACATTTATTTTGATATACAATCAGTTGTCAATCAACCAAATAAAATCCGAGTGACAATTTCAACCTTTTCAAGTAGGTTCTTTTTTCCTTTAACCTCGATGTCCGAGCTTCGCTCGATTAATCCCGGGAGTAGAAGACCATCCTCCTCGTTCGTCTACTAGGTGATATCTGGATGTTGTCGCTGCCGAATTATGTTACAACTCCTCATGCTTTGCAGCTGAGCCGTGCCCATGGGGCAACCGTCTCATCTAGTTTAGTTAGTGGTTGCTAATATTTTGAAAAGTCGGTCCATCTGGCCGACCGATTTTCTAAAATAATATAAATTTAACACGAGTTTTAGTTGATTAAAAAAGAGGTTCCGACAATAACCAACAACCAACCCATTACCACCTTCGATAAACTCAGTTTGCCAATTGTTATCCAACCCATGAAAATGGAGTTGATTATTTATGTATTGGTAAAAAAAATGTTGATCGGGCTTTTTCGAAAGTGATCAATAACTAAGAGAGGGCTGGACTTCACCTTCATTTATCTTTTAACGAAATATCCTATGTTGACTTTCACTTTCATTCTTAAACATCGTCAAGTATGCGTGAAAAGAGTCTCCTATTAATTTAACGTCATTCTTTAACATCGTCAAGTATACATGAAAAGAGTCCTATTAATTCAACGAGAGACGTGTTCGTTCCACATATACACCATTGCAAAAGTCTTGATTGATTTATCAAATTGCAATGTGTGACAAACCCGACCAATAAATCGTATGTATCTACTTGGTTTGTAACAATGTAAATTAATTTTGTTTATATATTTGAACAAATATTGATATTATAAGATGTGATAATTTTTTATATTATACGTATGTATACATAATATATATATTTATTATATATATTTATTATATAAAAAATGAATGAGATAATCAAAATTAGGACGGCACCTCATACCTACCTTGGTCATTTTTCTCCATTTTCAACGAAACTTCTGCATTTGTATTTTAACTCTGCAGAAAAAAAAAAGTAGCACTATTCTCAATTATTTTCACATCCCTACCCCCATAACTCATTTAATTTTCCCTGCCAGAAATATTTCTAGAGAGATAAATAAATATATATATATATATAGCTTTTTATTTTTTATGGTGATCAGTTTCTGAATCTGTGGACTGTGGGAATCAAATCAAAATTGATTAAAATGGAGAGAATAGTGGTGGTGGTGGAAGAGGTGGAGGTAGCCAGAACCGCCCTCCAATGGGCGCTCGCCAACATTCTCCGGTACGGCGACGTTGTTACTCTCCTTCACGTATATCCGGCGGCGGCATCCAAAAATAAGAAGAAGCTCCGCCGCCTCCGCCTCAAGGGCTTCCAGTTATCCCTCTCCTTCAGTAATATCTGCGACGCCTTTCCCAACGTACGCCCAATCTCTCTCTCTCTCTCTCTATACATATATCTTTCTTTCTCTCTCTAGGTTACTGAAATTGGTTGGCGGATGCAGACGAAGACTGAAATTGTTGTGACGGAAGGCGACCAGGATGGACGGAGAATTGCCGCCGTCGTTAGAGAGATCGGCGCCTCCACTCTTGTATTGGGGCTTCATGATCGGAGCTTCCTCTACAGGTAATTTTCCATTTGGTAACTCTTTTTTATTCTTAATTTATGTTTTAATTTTTTAATTAGCGCAAATTCATCTCATAAATTCCATTTGGGTAAATTACGAAAACCCCTAAACTTAGATTAAATTACAAAAACTCGATCAACAGTTAATCAAAGGGAAATTTTGATTATTACGAATAGGTGGAGTGTTTTTCGTTATTTAGCCTAAGTTCATAGATTTTTCGTAATTTAACCTTCAAAATTTTCACAAACTAGCCCTAGGAACTCGTGTACCAACAGATGTTTCATTTTGTTACAATTTACTCCTACTTTAATTTAATTAATTAATTAATTGGTTAATTAATTAATTAATTATGAGTGTTACATCATATATGGTCAGTCAACAGTCAGCATTCATTTAAAAATAATAAAATAAAAAAAGACCCCAATTTCTGCAGACTGCAAGCTCTTTCTTGTTTGTCCTTTATTGTTTGTGTATTTATTCATTCATTCTATTAGTCAGTTTTGAGCATATTCTTTTATTCTTCTTTCTTTCTTAATGAAACGTTTATTACTTATTAGTATAATAACTGCTGATGTAAGTTGATTAATAAAGTCAAATTACGGAAAAACCCCTCTTGTTCAGGTAATTACAACCACTCCCTCAACTATGTATTGTCTTACGAAAACCCCCCTCTTTCAGGAGGTAGATTTGACACCCTAAGTGTGGACGTGTAAGACAATACACAGCTATGGATGGTTATAACTACCCAAACACGAGGGTTTTTTTCGTAATTTGACCTTACATCAAGGGTAATCGTCTTAATGAAAACTGAAATGTTAACTATTGGTTCTATTATTATTATGCTTGATTAATTATACGTTTGTTATAGCGTAAGAAAAGCTAGTTTTTAGTTAACAGTCACTTTCGTTAACCTGTTTCTATTGCCTTAAATCGAATAAGAACAAGTTCAACGAATATCTGTATTTACATATGGAGTAAAAGAGAGTTCTGAACGGAGGTATTATCGTAATAACTGACAACAGAACACACGGAAGTTTGTTTGTTTGTTATATTTCAAAGTCTGATTAAACCGACTGTTTATTGTGCTGGACCATATGTTTATTAATTAACGCATACCGAATATTATTCGATAAAATTCATGCCGCGCAGGTTGATAAATCTCCAAAACAATAGTACGAGGAATATTAATTGTAAGGTTCTTGCAATTAAGGAGCCAACTACTAGCGTGGTGGCATCGAGAACTATTTCGGTTTCGACTACGATGGATTTCTCACAAATTGAAGTATCTGTACTTAGGTAAGTAAACCGCGTTCATATCGTTTTAGTTCAAATATGCTGCTAATTAAAATTATTACAATTAATTCGATTGTCGAAAACGGTGCTGCAGCGTACCTGAAGTTCCTCCGACGAAGATTCCTTATCAATTATGTCCCGACCCGACTGCTATAATTTGGAGATCGAGGCCATCAAGAACATTGAAATCAAGTTCATGAAACCAAATTAATTTTACTTTTTAATAAACTTTTTCTCCCACAAATTTACTATATGAATGAGTTTGTATTTTTAATTTGAAAAAACGAATATTCTCATAAATATATAATTTTCTTTTGTATACTGTAGACTGTAGAGGCCTGTTTACTTCGAGTGAACTATACAATTACACCCCTATACTTTAGTTAACTGTTAGAGAACCCAGAATTTTCTTATATTTACCAAAAATATATAATTATTCAAAAAAAATCTCTCTGGATATTTATTTTTTTCGTTTATCACAATATAAATTCATTTTTTTTTCTATAATTTTTTTTGTTACTAAAATGTTAGTTAATATATATTAAATATGATATCGTTTAATTACTATATTTCACTACTGACAAAATTTAATTTTTTTTTTACTTATAATGTATATATATAAATATTTTTCCCAAAAAAAAAAAAAGAAAAAACTAATAAAAAAGAAAGACAACCATCAAAATCATGGAGGGTGGGACCCAGCTTTCCCACCTGCCTACCTTCGTCATTTCTCCATTTGCTTCCAATATTCTACCATACTCATTTATCAAACAATTTTCTGCTACCATAAAGAAATAAATAAATAATAAAAAAATCATTATAGTAACTATTGTGACAGCCTTTTTTTCTGCCTGGCTTGGAATTTTCCTCGAAAGTACCAGATACTAGGGAAGAAAAAAAAAAAGACAAGTCTTTTTTATGGGATGATATCAGTAGCACTGTCTGAATCTGTGGTATTCATCAATGGCGGGTATGCTACCTGGAGTTGAATCTGCAAGAAGAAGAAGATTCCACAACAGCAGTAATTTCACCTCTCATGAGCTGTCTTCCAGTACTTATTCCACCTGGCGCTCTTACACAACCACCACCCATCACTTTCATTCTAATTCTTCCGCCACGGTATATATTAATTATATACACATGTGTGTGTGTGTGTGTGTGTGTGTGTGTGTGTGTGTGTGTGTGTGTGTGTAAATTGATTTAATGAATTTTAATTATTAAAAATGATGAGCAGAGGAGTTCATTAATAAGGCAGCAGGGATTGTGTGATGACGATAGCAGGCTTAGTGCAGCTGCTATACAAGCCAAGAAGAGGTTGGATCTCAGGCTTCATTTACCACACACCCACAGGTGTGTCTGTGTTTTTGTGTGTTCTTATATTATATATTTACTGATCATATATGATTATAAAAATAAAGCATTTTAATTTGTGCCTCTGTTTGGATCATTGAATCATGTAAATAATAATAAATTGGTTTAATTAAATTTCAAATATAACAAGCGTAAAATATGTCTACAATTTGAATTTGGTGATGATTAAAATAATTTTCTTTGATTTATTAATTAACAGGATAGATCAATTCAGAAGTACGAATACAGATCATGAGCAAGAGAGGCCGACTCGATCTTCGATTAATAATAGGCCGCCGACGAATTTGCAAGATGATAATCAAGTACTTCCTAATAAATTGAAGAGAAGTGGATCGAAGAGGTTGAATTGGTTGAAAATGAGCTGGAAATCGTCGGAGCAAGACGAGTGTGCGGTGTGCTTGGAGCAGTTCGTCAAGGCGGGCGGCGGCGGAACCCTAATGCAGGTGCCGTGCGGGCATAGGTTCCACACCAACTGCTTGATGCCGTGGTTGGAGGCCAATGCTCACTGCCCTTGTTGTAGAATGGAAATCCCTTCTTCAAAATAATTTAATTAAATATATCAATAAATAAATAATATAAGAAAGACGTCTCGATGGCAAAATTGTAATTTCAAGTGTCGCATGTTGTCGCTCCTCCTCGGTCGCCATGTTTCAGTTTTAAATGCAATAACTTTGCAGACATAGCATTTTTTTCTCTTCTTATTTCGCTCTAATTTTTACTTTTTACGATTCGACGAACAACTCGACGTATTTTAATAATTACACGAACACTTAAAAATATTATTAAATTAATTATCTAAGATAGGGAAAAGATCTCCATTACCATTATTATTCATCAATGTTATTAAAAAATCGACACAAGTTTGTCTTCTTCACAAGTTGTTGAATCAAAACAAGTGGTATTAGTTGCTTTAAAGCTGTGGAAATTCTATCTTTTAAGGTTCCCACCATGTAATAATTCACAATTTCTTGTCTTCTAAGTGGGACCAAATTCTTGTGTATCTATATTGCATGATTGGTCATTCCCTTCTTTGTTACTTTTAATCACAATAATATATATATATATATATATATATATATATATATATATATATATATATATATATATATATATATATATATATGTGTGTGTGTGTGTGCGCTTTTCTTGGATAGAGTAAGAAGTGTCAAGATTTCCATCATTGATTGATGGATACAATAAATTTTACCAATAATTCACGATAATAAAATCTTCGATGGGGCTCCGTTTGGCAAGTTTTGGGCAGAACTCTTGAATTTGGGCTTCAGATAGGCGAAAAACAAGTTCGCTGGGCAGAAGCATTGGACTCGAAGGTCTAGGGAGTATTGAATATGAGCTCTATATAAACGAATGCAATCGGCACAATCGTCGTCGCTGATCGAAAACTCCGGTGTTAGGTCATTTTTCCAACGACCTAAAGAAACACATTCAAGAGGAGGTCTTGAAGATGTAGATCTTACACGAATAATTTTGTATAAATACAAAATGAATAATTGGATCCATATGATATGACAGAACGTGTTAAGACTTAGGTGGTGTTTGCAAAAACTTTTTGAAAGTGATTATGAGTGTTCTTTTGCTCATAATCTGTTTTCAGGTGTGTGCAAAATCAATTTTTGCTTTTGCTTCTCTTAGAATAATCTGCTTTAAGCTATTTTTTTTAAAGCACCACTAGCTCTGTTTTTTCTATTTAAGTTCATTTTTCGGAATATTTGCAAACACTCACAACTTTTAGAAATAAACACTTAAAACTGACTTAACTCACAATCACAAACTTCTGGTTATAAATAATTATTTGCAAACACTACATAAGAGTGAATTAATATGAAGTAATAAATATTTTATTAAAAAAATGTTTTAATTAAAGTATTCCTTACTTTATCACGTGATATAATTTTTATTTTTTTTATTTTTTATTTTTTATTTTATTTACCTTTTCCCCAACTAAAATACAGTATTCAAACGATGTTAATTTGGAGGCCCAGGCCCAACATTAGCAGGCCCGAAATGAAACATCGGCCCGAAAAAAGGAAAAGCTCGAAACGCCGTCGTTTTCTCGAACTCAACATTTTAAAAACTCAACGGCTAGTTCCAATCACACCTCACAAATTCAAAAATTTCTTATACCAAAACCCTTCCCTCCTCATAAACTGGAGCTGAATCAAAATCTCCGACAAAAAAAAAAAAAATTCCCAAAATCAAGACAAAGAAAAGGGTTTCGATTAAAAAATGGTGTACACGTACACACCCGCAAACTACACGTCACTGCAGGACTCGATCACCTCAATTTGCAGGAACGTTCTGCCGTTCTCCTTCAAGAAGAGGCGGCGGCCCCCACCGATTTCCGATTCGGATCAATATTTGTCGGATAAGCAGTCTGATAATCTGAAATGGCAGCAGGATTCTTTCCACAAGATTCTTAATTTGACGGGCCTCTGTAAAGAAGGTATTGTTCTCGAAAACGAGGTCTCTGCTTTCAGAATACACCTCCTCGAAACCCTAATTGCGTCGCCCCTCGATCACGAGCCGGCCCCGATATTAAGGGATAAGCTGATCTTTCTGAAGGTGAGTGGCTGAGCTGAGTTAACTCGTTTTCGATTTTTTTTCTTCGATGTGGTTTGTGAATTCCGTAGCTGAAATTATTCCATAGTCAATTATTTCTTTTTCCATTTTGGTTAAGTTAGTGTATCAGTCACTTATAAGCTTAGGTTTTCAAGAAAAAAAAAAAGTCACTTATAAGCTTAGAAAAGTACTTATAAGTTAGCTTGTTAGTAGGATTTAATATGTTTTTAATTGGCGGGTTTTATCGGAAACTCGGAATTATGGTCTAACATTGAAATTAGCTTTTAATTTTGGTGGGTTTTTCTTTTTTCCGCCTTTTTAGGAGTTACTCTACGCGAAATGCATTTCCGAAGAAGAGTATCATGCATCGAAGAGGCCCTTATTACAGAGGCTTGCAGTTCAAGGAGCCGAGATCGATGCAAGAGATGTAATACTCGGGGCACAAAAAGAGACTTCAACCGAAGAATGGTCTGTAATCGATTTGAAGGATGACAAAAGCTCGATTAACCGAGAGATTTTAGCCTCAAAGAACAACAAGAAAGGTAGTTCAACAATCAAAAAAATGAAGGGTGCTGTATCAGCTTTCGGTTTCGCGTCACCGCTTAAGAATGGAAAGTTGAAGGAGACTAATGTAAATAACGAGGGCGACGAAATTCTTCGGAAAAAAGATCGGAAAGTAGACACTAGTATTAAAAGAAGTGAGCTCGAGTATTCGACAGAAAACCCTTTCTGGAACGGTGGCTTAAATGATGATAAAGAAAACGGGTCGAAGTCCATTCTCATGGTCGAGAGCTTGGATGAGAAGCAAAGTCTTGGTAGTGACAAGACGAAACGGAAACCGTTTAGGACAATTTTTCAAAGAGAGCAAGAGAAACGTGGTAGTTTTGGTAACGATAATGTTACGGTTCTTGATGAGAGAGAAAAAGGCAAGATAGGGAAGATAGTGTCGATATTTGATGGATTTAAGAAATGGACGAAAATTGATTCAGAGTACGAGAGAGATGAATTGTCTATCAATGAGAAACGGGATGAAGCAAGTTATCATTATGAAGGCAAGCTTGTTTCCAACCCTATCGGAGAAGGGCCGGATACAAAGCAAATCAAGAGGAAATTGCATCCGAATGGCGCTCCAACTGATTTCTTTGTCGATAAGGTCAAGAATTTTACGCATTAACTTCCTTAAATTTCTCGGTATGTTTAATTGGTGCTTATGTTTTTCATTGTCTTCGTGAATTTTTTTTTTTTGTAGGTTTTGGGAGAGAGAATAAAGGAGGAGCTATCGCGAATCCAAACAGAACTCGGTGCGAAAAGTCCAAATGTTAATCTAACGTAAGCGTTCCTTGTCGGAGTTGTATAATTAATGTATCATGGTTGAGCTTTTTGTCACGATAAACATGATGTATTAAGCAGACGTGTAATTTATTTTACACAGGGATGATGAAATCGAGACTATCTCAACTAGGATTCCAGTTGACAAAGCAGACCTGAATAAGTATTTTCCCAAGTAAGAACTTCAAATATATAATTTTCTTTTCATGCAAGAAAATAAAGTCCGGAAACGACATGTATCAGAGAAAGATGCTTGAATATAGCTCTTGTTCTTTTTTGGACAATTTCAGATCATGGTGCGATGAATACGGCGACATTGTCTTAGATGTTGTTAGGAAAGAATTCGAGTACCACATGAGAGAAACGGGAAATTCGCGAAGTAAAGCAGGTAAGCAGAAGCACAAAACATTCGATTATGAAAACTCGGATCCAAATCTGTACTGTAAGAACCGCGAACAACCAGCATTCTCTTCCTTAAAGAATGGTCAGAACTCTAGCAAAATCTGAGGATGTTATATTATTAACCTCGGATTGAATTTGTACATGTGATGAATTAATTTATTTTGTTATCTTGTACCGTTTTAATTTCAGTACTCTGATTTTTCTTTACAAATTGCATTGGATATCAAAACCAGACATAATAAACAGGAGGTCGACACAAGAATTACCTAGGAACGAACACAAATGTCTGTTTTATCGCAGTTTCATGTTTATCACTGTAAACAAGAGCCTAAGTTACAAACATGCGTAAATAAACCTAATATCTCATCGCCACTTTGGGGGACCGAGAAACGGAAAAGTGAAAATCCCCATCAAAGGCGGAAATGCTAAATCGTACGAGCAATTTTCCCTAATCTATGTATATATTTATGTGAAGAAAAAAACAAACATGAATTTGGAGCAAAGGCTGGAAAGCAATTACACTTGTGATTGTTCATAACACAATATAGGTATATAGTTCTTTTCTTTTTTCCTCTCTCTTTCCTTGCAGCATCCACCAATTAATTTCCCTACGGAATCGAGATTCGGGTGTTCAACACGAAATGGTGAGAGTGGAGTGGGGGCAATTTTTCTTGAATAAATGATATAATTTATTCCATTAAAAATACAACTCTTTCAATCAAATAGTTATATACAAAAATTAACCAACTGAAGACAATCTTTAGTTTGAAGTAGAGCCTTCGGTGAAACCCTCGCGTACGTCTCCCCTGCAGAGTGGGCACACACTGAAACACCAGACGAGAACCAGATATTAACTACAATTGGAAACACACACATACATAATAAATATATGTGTATAGTGAATTTATCTATAGTTACGTACCCGTGTATCTCTTTAAGCCACTTATCCACACACGACATGTGAAACTCATGGTGGCATGGGAGAATTCGTATTTTATCTCCATCCTCGTACTCAGCCAGACAAATGTAACACCTGCACTCACAATTTCTTGATTAGCCAGCTAAAAACCCGGATGTTTCCACTCGTTAGCCAGTTTTATCCAAGAACGTTTCTATTCGTTTTTTTAACTTCCGACATATAGTTCATGCATCTACTTAAGTATTCACTCTTTTATGTAGTTGGAGAGAAAAAAAAGTTCGCCGCAGTACGAGAAGTTTTTTTTCCAATTAAAGAAGGCAGGAGAAAACGTACTGTGAAACATCACTTGCAGTTTCCGATGTTTCTGTCTGACCGTGAGTCTTCACTGGAAAAGAGTCAACAACTGATTCTGGAGCTGGAAGTGAGACCATAGACAAGGAAAGTGACATGGGCTGTTGATGAATTTGATCGAGTACCTGAATAAGCAATGTATTAACAATATACCAAAACTCACGATTACTCAAAAAGGACGAAAACTGCTTATATATAGAGGCAGGAAAAAACCATGAATTTCAGTCGTGTTTTTAAGGGTCTTGAACATTAATTTTCTTACGCATTAAAAAGCAAATCACTGGACTCGGTGCTTTTAAGAATCTTGATCATGATTTTCTTACTCGTGGCAAAATGGGCAAGAAATTTGAGACAAATCATGCTTTGTAATCAACATTGGTTACTCGATTTCTCTTGTAACTTTCAGCAAAGTCAAATTATTTTACGCCGACTATCAAGAAAAATACCTCAAACAATGCTTCAGCCAGCATGACTATTCTAGAAATGCCAGCACGTGCGCCCGATTCCTCAACCGATGAACTTGTCTGGCACGAGCATGAGCCATCACTATGTAATCCCGTCGGACAGACTGTAGATGTATGGTCGGTTGAATCAATACTCCCTCGAAGTCTTCCCCATATCTATATACAATGAATAATTAATTACTGGCCACGCAAATGCAATAATAAAAACCGTAAAAAAAAAAAAAAAAAAAAAAAAAAAAAAAAAAAAAAAGAGTTGTACCTCAGATCTTGAATTCCATCTTTGCTCACTGCTTGGAGTTCTACTGTCGTGAGATCTTAAATCTCCTCCATTCTCGTCATTATTAAGGAAACCACCGCTAAAATCAAGAAGCCATCTTTCATGGGATCTCAAATGATCAGAATCGCCGGGCGAAAACAAAAGGGTTCTTGAATCCCTCCTCGAACTGCGTCTCGAGAACGCATCCCAAAATAATCTCCTACTGTTCCTTCTTGCCTCACGGCTGCTTATGTCAGCAGAATTAGTGAGTAAACCGTTCGAGGATATACTCACCACATCGACATGCAGAAGGCTCCCATCTTGTCTGCTTTGATCCCTCTCCGACACTACAAACCCTAAACCCGAAGGTGTTTCCTCATGAACGGCGTCGTCTCTACGCAAGTGATAATCTCCAGGTGAATCGGAAACAAAAGAAGACGACCCAAACTCGGAATTAGAGAAATCGACTTCTTCCGAGACATTGTTTTCGACCGAAACTTCGTCCAACAAAGATTCTCGAAGACCATTGCGATACACGGTGCTGGAATTATTGTGCCCTTCACCACTGGGCATTTCATTCGAAGAAACGCCATGTGGCGATGGTTGATGTGCATAGGAAGTACTAGCAGTTTCGTTACCTCTGGAGTTATGAACTGGAGCAACTAACTCCCTACTATCAAACAACCATTTTCCTTTATTACCAGGCTCGAGATTGCTTGCACCAGATTCAGGAGCTGGATTCTCATTAGCAGACAAACCTCTCGCAGATGAGACCACACTTTCAGGTTTAGTGCTGATCCGATTATCCCCATTGTTATTGGACAAATTGGACTTTTTTCTTCGGAATTTTAATTTCTGTTGACGGGCGCGTTCTGCAGAATTTACCAGTAATTCCGCTGGATAATCGTCCATCTACATAAAAGAAAATGACAACACAGATTAACACCTGATAACATTTATTCTTGCCAAATGCAGTAAGAACAAGGAATAAAGATTAGCCCTTTCTATTCAAGATAACAGAGAAATTTCCTATCGGGATTATCTTAAAAAAAGAGAAATACAAAGAAAAAAGTTGCCATTAATTTTTCTATGACATCGGTGCTTTGATGCAGTTATATTTGCTAATGTGCTATAAGAGCACACAAGGCCAACTGACTCTAAAATCAACTCAAGTTAGACGAATACATTACAATAGTCATAGTGTTCGCCCTGTCAAATATGCGTTACCAAATATTTAATCAACGGCCCTTCTTTCACAATAAGCTCGATACATTACGATTTAGTAAATGTAATGATTTCTTAGCTACTTCAAACACATGCTGGACGACGCTATTGGTTTTATTTAGTAACACAACGGACATATTTTGCATTTATTCCACTTCAAGAACTCGAAGGGAAAAAGATTATCAGCACCGATCGTCAAAATTCTTCCTGTGCAAAATCACATCAATCGGAAAAAATGACGATTTACGCAATCAATAACCTTATGTTTCAAATATTTAAATTCACATTACGATCACATAATCCACCCATATAAATTCTAAACCGTTTCAGAAACTCGAAATCGATCTCCATATCATATCATTTTTCTACTTAATACATAACAATATTCCCCTGACTAGTTTCTTCTTCTTTCCCAGCACCAATAGTTACATAATTAAAACATCCTTCACCCCCAAAATCCCATCATTCAAAAATCCAACGGTGGCGCAATCAATCAAAACTTTCAAAAATTGATAATTCCTCAATAATAAAAAAAAAATCAGCCCTAAATCAAACACCGGAGAAACGGAAAAGGGGGGAAAACAATGAAATCGAGGATCCTAATTTCATAACAATCAAAACACACCTCGCGAGATGAGGAAGCACCGCAGAAGAGATAAGAGGAGATACTCCGCCTGATCGTGGGGCGGCGGCGTTGACGAGAAGGGTCGGAGACCGTCGTCCGGCTGATGCCCGAGCCCATTTTCCGATGATGATTCTCCTCCTTTTCTCTTCTCCGAACAGAGAAAGAGAAGAAATAGGGATTGCTATCTGTACATATATATATATGTATGTATGTATATATATATCGAACCCTTTGTTGTGTATGGCAATGGTTGAGGAACGAAGGTGAAGAAAAATGGCGATAATTAAAAATGGAGGGCTGTGTGTTTGTGTGTGTAAAGACACGGCTGAAAGGTGAGAGGTCTGTGTATTATCATTTTTTTATTATTATTTTTTATTTTTTTATTTTTAAAACAAGCGAAAACGAAAAGTACTTGTCATATGAATGTGAAATGCTTTTTTCTTTTTATTATTCACAATTAAATTAAATAAATAATGCGAAACATTACCTTTGTATCTGTCAATATTGACCTTAAATTCATGATTATTATTATACATAATATTTTCGTATTTTTATTTATTATATATAAATTATTTGGTATGATTCCCTTAAAAAAACGTATTTGGTAAGACGACTACTAATTGTTTCAGGTGAAAATTAGACACGTGTCATATCGTAATTAGTGATTTCGAAGGAAAAAAATTTACAAAAAAGAAAATAGAAAAAAAAAATTAATTAACCCTCTAGTGTCAGTTAACAATAATGTTGATATTATGAGCAAAATTATTTTTGCAAATTAAAATTAAAACACAAATCGGAATCTCATGTACATTTAGTCGAAAAAAGCAGAAGAGAAAATCGGAAACCGAAATTTCGGAATTCGAAACAAAAAAAAAAAAAATTATTCCAAAATCAAAACTTTTAACTGATTTGACCTTCATTCATCGTGTTATCTCTCTCTCTCTCTCTCGTTCGCTCCTACTCGCTCTTTCTGGTACATCGAAGTTGCAACTATTTCGTCGTTTTTTCGACTTTTTTCCTTTTAATAAATGATTTTTTGATTTATTTAGTGGGCTTCTTTGGATACTTGGTTCTTATGTTTATCTGATTTTATAAATACGTTAATGGGCTTCGTTAATTGTTTTTCTTAAGGCTTCTGGGTTTTCATTCTCGGCCCTCATATGGAATTAATTTATTGGGCTTCTTTACTATATTATATAAGAACACTAACTAAAGAAACATAATTCCAAGCTACAAAAAAAATACCATCGAAAATTCAAAATTCGTATAATACTCATAAAAATAATACTATTATTGATGTTATAATTTATATATATAATTTTTGGAATATTTAGAAAATTATTAAAAAATCGGAATCCGCGATGAAATAATCAAAGAAATGGAAATCATTTTTTTCCTTGTTTCAAATCAAAAGAATCAAATCGGAATCCGCAATACTTAGAAATTCCGCTTCAATTCTCATCCCAGATGAATAAATTCAAATTAGTAAACACAAACGACCGACCCTCGTTAGGAGAATTCGTAGCTAGTATCTACTATTAGAGTCAATGTCTGGGGTTCAAATCCTGCTCCCTCCCGTATTTCCCCAATTTGTAATCGGAAATGACGAAAATGACCCTTTTGGCCACAAGAGGAAGTAGTAACAACATGTTTTGCGGTGCACCGCAAATTGAGGTAGGTTCAGTCACAACTCAATTGACCCAAACAAAAAGGGCCAAATTGAAAACAAAATAGTGTCAGAAGGACTAATTAGTGAGTGCAGGGGGGGCAATTGCATATGCAATAAATTATGTGGAACATGCTTGTCTTTAAAATCATTTCCCCTACGGTTGTGTTCTTATCATCTCATATTATTATATAGATATCTATATATCTGAAGATTTTTTCACATGAAATATCATCATTTTAATTAGGGTAAATTATGAAAACCCTTTGGATTTAGGCTAATAACAAAAAGCACCCCCACCTATTCCTAATTACAAAAAATCCCCGAGATATGGTTTTCGTCTTACACCAACCTCTTTTTTTTTTTGACAGTAAAAGGGAATTTAATTAAACGATATTCGCTAAATGCAACGGAAGTTCAATACCCTCCATAGAAACAGTACATGAAATTTGAGCAATACAGTGAGCTAACAAGTTTCCATGTCTCTTAACAAAATTAAACGAACAAGAATCAAAACTTTCACCAATGTTGAGGCATTCCTCCACAAACGCTCCGAACGATGAGAATTCACACTCCCTGCTATTGAGTGCATTTATCACTTCGAGGCAACCGCCTTCAAGTATAATATTAGTTAAGCCCATCGATTTGGCGATAGAGATCGTCTTCAACGCCGCCAATGCTTCTCTTTCCACAGGTTGAAGATTTCCCTGTATGCGTGTTACTTTCCAACCAAGACAAGAACCATAACTATCCCGAGCAACCATTACCACCGAAAAGAAACTTTCCCCATTTGGAAATGCAGCATCAAAATTTAATTTAACCACATTACTAGGGGTTGGTTTCCAAACACTAGGGTGTATATCTCGCATCCTCGAATTTGGGCGAATTTGTGCAGATTTATAAGCTGCTAAAAAGTGGCGGCACCAACTGACCGAATCACATGACTTAATAACCTCTTTCTCTTTCATAGCTCGATTCCTGTGACAACCTCTTACAGTGTGACATTTCACGGATATTTTTTATTATTTATTTCAGGGAATAGACTTTACAAACAATTACATATGCTTTCTTTTATTCTTCACCTATTTAACAGAAGTTATAATAGATTGGACACATTTTCTGTTAAAAAACTCAATCAACAGTTAATCAGAGGGGGGTTTTGGTTATTACGGATAGGTGGAGGTATTTTTCGTTATTTAGTCTAAGTTCATGGAGTTTTTCATAATTTACCCTTTTAATTAATATATTATGCAAAAATAGTGCAGAAATTTCGCCTTTATTGCAAGGATCTTATAGCTCACATTGAATGAAAAATAAATTTTAAAAAATAAGAAAGAAAGAAAAGGACTTATCTACCAAATTCACTATTTTCTTTTATTTGCAAGATGTAGAACATTTAATTTATATATATCCTCTATATATATATATATATATATATATATATATATATATATATATATATATATTACATATCCTTGTCGGGCCAAGGGATGGGGGCCCTGGGGCGAGGGATTTCGCCTTTTGATGCAAAAAAACCTATTTGCAAAATCACATGTTGACCCAAAAAGTTATTGAACTAACTAAATATCAAATAAAATCTTTCGAACCAAACGAGAGAGATTAGGAACCAAACCTTATATAAATAAAGTTTACAATTATGTTGATTTATTTTATTAATTCTATGTAGACACCAATGAGTTTCACTACATAGTATCCAAATATATACATGTATATATATTTTACACACATTCACATATTTAGGTGTGTGATGATCTTGCGTGTAAATTTTACAACAATATGTTATTTGATGCATTTCACCATATCTAATATCTATTTTTTTTTTTTTAATTTTTAAATTTTAATTTTTATCCATATGCATGTGATCGATCATATGTAAATGATTAATTAATAACAACAAAATATATTATACTAAAATATCTTGAGAGAGAACAATCTGCACACTTTTTTCATGGAGTTGAAAAATATTATTATAATATTTTGTACTTGGACCAAATTAAAATATTATAGAGCACATGAAAACTGGGAAAACAAGAAGCTTAAGTCTACAAAACAAAATCTTACTATTCTAATACAATTAATCCTTAAAAATTGCAAAAAAAAAAAAAAACATATATATAAATATATGATTGGTGTCTAATTATATATATATGTACGCCTGTCTATATCCCTTAAGACAAACTTCTTGATTGATTCATCTCTCTAGCTTTTCTAAGCTTTCTCTCACTAGAAAACACTAGTTAACTAGTTGTGTATAGGAGGTTTTCTTCTTGCCTGAGAATAATCCATTCCTGCAATATCTAATATGTCGGGATACATCTCCGGTTGCCGTTTTTCAGTCGTCGTCGTCGGTGACGATTTTACCGACATTTTTTCTTCTTTCCTTTTTCCATTAATCTCGTCATTCTGCACGTGCAACGAATAATTCATTAATTAAAGAATGATCAAAATTATTATTATTAATTCTTTTTTTGTAAAATTAAAACTAGTGTGTGTGTGTGTGTGTGTGTGTGTGTGTGTGTGTGTAGAAGCTTACTTGGATCTTGTTATTATGATGCTTCTCTAGTGGAGTTTCTTTTAGCAAGCGTATACCTACATGAATTAATTATAGCAACAATTATTACAATTAGAAATATTTGATAAATTTCTTTTTTATATATATATATATATATATATATATATATATATATATATATATATATATATATATATATATATATATATATATATATATATATATATATATATCTATATATATATATATATATATATATATATATATATAGATATATATGTTTATATATATATATCT